CTTCATGACATAATAATCTAAAATATATTAGCAAATTAAATGACATTTTCTTCAGTAATTTTAAAATTGAACTTAGCAGTCCAAGAAAAGAGCATCAAAAGCAGTATATTTCAGTTTATATAAAATGATTTATACTCATTTTCCATATTAACTTCAAACAATACCAAAAGACTAAAATGAAGTCTAAAAAGAATACTCTAATATAAAAATGCTCTTAAAAAACTTACTGTAGATGTATATTTAGAAGCACGTTAAAGTAAAATGTATTTTTTAAAAAGCTACATTGGGCTTTAAAGCCACAACTAATAAACGGACACATAAATGTTGTTTTCATCTAAAAAACTTACTGTAGATGTATATTTAGAAGCATGTTAAAGTAAAATGTGTTTTTAAAAAAGCTACATTGGGCTTTAAAGCCACAACTAATAAACGGACACATAAATGTTGTTTTCATACCTAGCAATCATAGCAAGAGTTATAGTTCACACTAACTGCTACCCTGCTGATGCTAACGATGCCCTGGGCACTTGCTCTGTGCATTACCTGTGTTGGTTGATACTCACCATAGTCCTGGGAACTACATATTACTTTTATCCTCAATTTACAGATAAAAACCCAAGGCACAGAGCTTGAAAAACGTGCCAAACTTGCAAAGCTGTAAGACGTGGAGCCCGATTCTATCTTATTTCCACTATTTAGCTATTATATTATTTTCCTATATTATTATTGTTATATTATTATGTATTATATTATTAATTATGCATTTATATTATTTTTTATATATTTATATTATTATATTGTATTACATTATTATTTTATTATACTATTTTCTGACTTTACCTTCCAAAGTAAAGGTAAACCTCTTATTTTCTTCTTCTGATTTTAAGGAATTAAAATAGCAACATGATACAATTTTCTAAGGTCATCCATTTTATTTGGTCAGAGCAGAAATTAGGAAGGACTAATTTTTGTAGTCAGGCAGCCACTGAGGCAGTAAGTGGTATGACATGTGACTTCATATTAGGGCTCTGGGTTCCTGACTATCTGCACTTCAGGTTTGTGGCCTCAGGCAACTAACAATCTTTCTTTGGCTTAGCTTCCTCATCTAGCAAGTACCTTATAACAATGCTATTGTGAGGTTTTGTGATATAACCCAGGGAAAACAAATAGCACATAGAAGTTGCCCACATAACATTAGTCTAAACTATGCAAGCTCAGAGGACGTAACCAAACATACACAAACTGCAGCTGAATGAACCATAGGGAGTTAGGTTATAAAAAGATTCTTTTACTTTCCTGAGCAACAAACCTTTATGTATCATAAAATATTTAGGATACCCCAGGGCTCCTCTACTCCCTTATTTAAGCTGTTCATGTCCCGTATATTGCCTGAATTTTTTCTTCTAATCTCTCAAAATTCTCACAAATTCCAGGAGTAGGAAGATCTTATGACCAAGAGTCAGGAGATGCTATTTCTCCTTCTCTGATCTCTTTCCCCCATTACAGACCTGAACTTGTATATCTTGTTGGCAAATTCAAGAGGACGTGGCTCAACAGAACAACTGCTCAACAAAAATATGTGAGCCCAAAACGCAAGCCAATGTGTAATTTTCTAGTAGCCCCATTAAAAAAAAAAAAAAACCAAAAAAACAAGTACATAAAAAACAAGTGAAATTAATTTGAGCAATTTTATCACAATGTATCCAAAATATCATTTCAATATAATCAACATAAAAGAGGTATTAATGAGATATTTTAAGTTTTGTCCATACTAAAACTATCTTTTAAAAAAAAAAAAAAAAAGATGACTGGTAAGAGGATCTTAACCCTTGACTTGGTGGTGTCAGCACTGCGCTCTCTCAAGTGAGCCGTGGGCTGGTCCTCATACTAAACCTTACTGATCTGGTGTTTATTTTTACACTTACAGCACATCTTAATCTAGACCAGCCTTATATCAAGTGCTCAATAGCCATAAGTGGGTGGGTCACCCATGAGCTACAATCCTTTTTCATACAAAATAGAAGAAACTGAAAAAAGATGGCCATTAAAATTTTATACCTTATGGAGACTTGAGTTTAAAAAGTTAATTTTCACACATGCTTTAAAAATAACATATAATTTATTTATAAAAAATACATAAATGTCCCCTTTTATTCCGTGTATCACGATCTAGCTGTTCCTTGGAATAATGGCAACGTAGAAATATTTATTCCTAATAGCACCTAAATATTCTATAGAAGTTTTATGACAATTAGTAGGAGCTTGATATTATTTGAAACAATGTAAAATTATTTCAGCTGTATCATTATAAGATAAGAATATTATTTAATATGAACCACCATCCCCTATTGTTATTTTCTACTTGATATTTTACAATAGGAAGGAGATATGTCTCATCCCTAGGTCATCTGCTTTACTCTAATGCTTATTTGTTAAATTAATCTGAGCTAAAACTAGAATAGACTACTAGATTTTCGCAGTATGCGACAGTAATGCAAACAGGGATTGGATTTCTGCAAACAGGATAAAAACTGAAAAGACATTAAAGTGTTCTCTCATGTTTTATGTTAGCTCCTGGGAGCTTTGGTTTTATAACTTTAAAAGCTTTTTCTCCAAATTAATTTGTAAATACATAACCTGAAGATCAACATGCATGCTCATGTTTCATTGGTCCCATTTCTACTCTTCTCATTACTGAACTGGAAAGTAAGTAGAACTCCATGCATGAGACTTTGAGACTAAAAATGAGGATAAGACTAAACTGACAGTACTATTTAGTTTGGCCAGACATTCTAATAGGAAAAACACAGCAGCCAAGAAAATATTTTGGAAAAAGGACAAATTTAACATCAGTTTTGATTGCAGTGTCATAAGAAAGGCATGCATTATGGAAAACTTATCAGAACATCACAATTTAGGATAAGGTAAGGGAAAGGAAAAGAACACATTTCAATTGAAGGATGGCTTTCACTTCTCTACATTATTTTCACAGGCATTCATAAATTCTTACCATTCCTTCTGCCACCTGTAAGCAAATGATTTTGCAATCATCTCTTTATGTATCTGAGGTCATCTTATAGAATGACCTAGTTCATTGCTCCCAGACAGGACAGGCTATAAAAAGAATTAGAGAAACAGCCTACTCCCATGTCCCCTTTCCAGGAGGGAGAAAGAAATGCAGATGTGAAAGGATCCTCTCAGGTGTGAGGAGGAATAACAGTACAGAAGATGAGCACAGTGTCTGATGGAAATGGGAACATGAAAGGAAAAAATATACAGGAAAACTGTCAGAAATAATGGAGTCTCTCTGGTAGTTTGGAAGAGCTAAAATTCAGAAGTCTCAGGAGGCAGGCACTAAGGAAGAAGTTTGCCAGCAAGTAGAGGCTTCAAAAGCCATGGTGGGATTCTGGGGCAGGACTTAGTCAAAGACAAGGGGAACAGGAATTGTAAGTGGTGGTCTTCTTCTGAGAATAGGGGTTAGGCTGGCTAGTTGTCCATGAGCCCCAGATGAGGTCAGAAGGCACCCTAAGTCATGTAAAGTTTAATCAGATCCTCAAAGAATCTACTACATAAGAAGTTACAAATTCATTAAAGGGATTAAAGAACTTAACTGCTTGGCAAACAGAACTTGGGCTTAAGTCTGTTATTCCAAATAAAAGGTAAAAGTTAAATCCATGAGCCTGAGTTGTGGTCTCGAACTCCTTAATTCTTCTAAGTGAAGGGCTGGTCTTACAAGTAAACTTGCCAAGTGCCTAGTTTACAGGAGGGAGTCAGGTGGCTCTAGCCAAAGGAAAAGGAGCAAAACAGAGGTCCTGGAAGCCAGGTAGGGACTTATCCCCAGCCTCTGCTCTGTCTCAGTTTCTCATTATCTTTAGGGCATCACTTGTAGGTTTCCATTAGGAACTGAATTATGTCAAATATGAAGCAGGTTGTTTATTTTAAAATGTTGTCTTTCCTTCCCTTCCCCCTATCATCTCCACTAAAATAGAAACAGGGTATTTCATTTTTTATTATAATTGATTTTTTAAAAGACTGACATAGGAAGAAAAGAATGACTTAAATTAGGTATTTCATTACTTATGCTTTTATTAACCCTGTCCTCTCACCTCATGGGAATTGAGCAGAACATATAACAGATGATCACCTTGACTCTAGAGCTTACCTATATTCATCATAGATGCCACCTTATGAATATGCCCATTTAGACACTATTGTAACATATAAGAGTGTCACTTGAAAAAAATACTAAGAAAACGAAGTAAGCTTATAAAGACCAGCCACCTGTTATTTTCTGTAATGCAGTTTACATTAGGGAATCCATTACTTTCTACACTGACTTTGTAATAATGACTTCATAGGAAAGTCAGGCAGATCCCCGCCCTGGAAGGAAAGGGAGCATGGAACAAAGGGAAAAGCATTAGCCTTAAGTTTTCTCCCTTCACATAAAGGTTTGGTAAATGGGTTACTTTACTGGTGAGGTGTATTCATTCACGTATAGATAATATATATCCTTTTATTTGTTTTCTATGTTTTAAATTAATACACTTTATTTTAAGAGCAGTTTTAGGTTTATCAACAAAACTGAGTGGAAAATAGGGAGTTCCCATAAACCCCTGAGCCCACATATCCTCCTCCACCCTGTACTCCCCCCACACATAGTTTCCTCTATTATTAACATCTGGCATTTCTGTATTACATTTGGTACAGTGGATGAGCCAACACTGATACATTATTACTAACTGAGGCCATAGTTTATATTAAGGCTTGCTTTTTGTACTGTACATTCTGTGGGTTTTGGCAAATGGATAATGATGTGTATGCACAATTACAGTATCATACAGTAGTTTCACTACCCCAAAAATTCTCTGTGCTCCACCTATCATCCCTCCGTACCCTCCTCCTTTTATTTTTACAAATCAAAATTTTCAATAGAAAAACACCGTTAAGTTTTTTTTTAATAGTTTCTGGGACTACTATTTTAAAGGGAAACTAAAACTCACCGGTTCAACAAATTCAAACTTCTTTTTTTCTTGAACCTCTTGGATTTTAAATACATATTCTAATGATGCTTCATAGAAGTTTTGATGTTCTCGGTCAATCTGTGTATCTGCCTAAAGAGTAAAAAACAGGGAAAGTATGACAGAGGGAGTGATTATTTACCATTCTACATAGACAGGGACTCAATTCCTGCTCTACTCTGAAATCATTATTAAAAGCTAGGTCTTGAAAAAACGTTTTAATATAGCACTTACTGCAGTCTTTGTCCACAAGAGAAACACACACACACACACACACACACACACACACACATTCAATAAGCATACAACATTCATTACATTAGAAACTTATTACAAAAGAAGTATATAAATGTGTATAAAAATCTATGGGATCATAGAAGGAGAGACTAAATTATGGGAGAAAATGGTGGTGTTTATGTTAAATCTTAGAACAAGCAATTGACAGTAAATAGTTAATGATAAACAAAGGCAGGGGCCATTGTCATGAAAAAACAAAGAGGCATGAAAGTTTGACAGCGTCTGGCTGCAGAGTCAATACGTGGAAGAGAGGGGGGAAAAGAGAGGTTGGCATCACTCTACTGAAGATCTTGGACACTGCTTAACAAATTTGGATGTTAGTTGAGAGAGAAGCATCTGAAAATATTAAGCAGAAGGGCCACATCAATAGGAAAACTTTTAGAAAGATAGTACTGGTAGCAGAGCCAAAAATTTCAATGGCTCTAACCTGATGAATCACGCTCTACCAATGCCATGCACATTTATTCCTTCTGATTGCAGTAAGGTTCTACTGACAAAGTGTGGGAGAACGTTATTGAGATCATTTCGTTTTCTTTTTAACTTTGCCTTTCTTCTCTCTTCCATGCCCACTATCACCCTCAGATACACTCTTTAAAAGTGATGTTGGTTTGGTAGAGAGACATAATTTACTTTTCTTGCCCAGTTTCACACTGCCTGCTGCTAGCTGAGGTCACTAAAAGCAGATGGAAAGAAGTGGCTCTCCAGAGTACTAAGTAGCCATCAATAACCATTTTGGAGAAGAAAATTGCTTTGGAGTCATTTACAATGTTATTTTCACAAACAAAGCAAAAAAAAAAAAATAATAGACAAAATTAGGTTTGTTGGCTTGGACATGATAGCTTCTTAGGACTTAATTTGGAACCCCTTTAAAAATAGTTAAATATACTTGTTATGCATTTATTTATATAATTTAAAATAACCCAATATTATCAACAACTCACTAGAGATTTTTTACTGTTTTTAAACTAATACATGTGAAGAATATATAAATAAGGTAGGAGATTTGAACCAAAAATTTATTAGGTCCCAAAGATCATTTAGGAAAAATATTGGTATCAACAAAAAGAAAATCAGTATTCCACATAAATCTTACCATCGCTCAGGGGACCACTCTACATATAAGAATGAATTAACTCAGTAATGAAGGATAGGTAGTGGTGATGTGCTAATAAATACTTAACAACTGGCTCTTTTAAGAGAAAAGCTTGATTTGTAGTATTTGCTGGTTTCTGTGGTATAAATGTGGTCCCAAAATGGCCAGTTTCAAACCACAACCCCAACATCACTGAATGCAGCAGTTGGAAAGAGATGTGCACATGGGCTGTCCAGAGCAAGCTTCGGTAAAACACCGCGTGGAAGGGGTACAAAGATATTTTCAGTTTTGGAGGCAACATTCTATTTCAAAGTTATTTTGATGATTTTATTTACTTAAAAAAATAATGTCAGTGATTGTGCTGCCTAGTACATGGAAACAAACTCTACAATGTTGAGACGCCTTTAGATCTTAAAATGGTTATTTCTGGTCAACAGGCTATGCAGAAAAGAGACAGCAGGTCTTTCAAAAGGTCTGCTTACAAGGTTGGCCCTTGGCTGGTGTCTGAGATTGTGAATTTCTGGAGAATTTTCATCATTCTAACTGGTAAAAGTGGCTAAATGTGCCTAAATGGTGCAAATGATATGGGTTATGCTGAATGCCTCCTTTCCTTCCGGGAATCTAGAATTTGGGTACATGCCAGGCAGAGGGTTCAATGTGACCAATCTTTAGCGAAAACCCTGGGCAATGAGTCTCTAATGAGCTACTTTGGTAGATAACATTTCATATATTGTCACAACTCATTGCTGGGAGAATTAAGCACGTCCAATATGTCTCCGCTGGGAAGGGACTCCTGGAAGGCTGCACCTGGTTTCCCCTGGACTTTGCCCTATGTGCCCTTTCTCTGTGCTGACTTTTCTTTATGTACAGTACTTAAGGAATATGACAGCTTAATTCTTTTTCAGCACAAGACTTAGAAAGGTCTTTTACCTGGGGTGAATCCCTTTAGTACATAAACTCATGGTGTGTAGTTCACTAGCAAACACTTGCTTATAAACCTGCTAGCAACTGGTGCTATATATTTCATACTGGATAAGTAGGGTAACCATATGATTTATCTCTCAAAGTGGGACAATTTTAAAACTGAAAGGGAGCACTACTCATAACTATGTCAGATCAAGTGTGAAGTGTTTACAAGGCAAAAGGCACTCTAAAGTAAGACACTGAATTAATTTCATAATAAAATCACATGGTTCTGCAGATACCTAAATTTCTCCCAAACTACAATAAGCTATCTTGATTCAACATGGGGAGAAAAGCCTCAGGTGATACTTATCGAATCATTCCGAGAGGAGAAAAGACTTCAGCTAGACCCTGAAGAATGGGGAGGTTTACAGTAAGTAGAGATAAAATGAGAAGAGTTTGAGTGAGGGAATAGAGTTAGGAAAACAAGGTATGTTCAAGTTGATCAAAAGGTTTGTGACTCGAGGTCTGGTTTGCAGTACTCAGAAATGGCAGTTAAGGCAAAAAAGATACAATGTATGTAGACTTCATCCAACAGACAGTGCAAAAGCTTGAGAATGGTGTTGACAAAATCCAAGCCACATTTCAAGAAGATTAACATGAGGACAGTGCAGAATCCATTGATTAAGTGGTGGGGCTGGGTTCATGTGAATAAAAGGAGATGTCTTACTTGATAATCGTAAAGGTGTCTGTTGCATCCTTACAAGAAAGGTAAGTTGAAAGATGTGGGTAAAAGAAGCAAGGGAAAAGTCAAACATAAATTTGATACAAGTAATAATACCAACATTAACGGATAATTAAGGAAATGAGAGATAGGAAGAAATCTGGGAGAAATGGTGATGTGCAAGATGTCACATGTGTCACAAAGAAGTGGTAATCTAAAGTCTTGGTAGCCAGTCAGAGGGCTATACAAAGATGATCAGGCCTAACAAGATCATGACCTCGGAGACATTCAAGATGTTACAGACAACATGGAAGGAGGCGAGATTTCAGGGACAGAAAGCAAAGGATAAGAATAGAAATGTAAGAACTGAACTTAAGGGATTTGCTTCATTTACGGGTTAGGGGAAGATGATCAGGCCTAACAAGATCATGACCTCGGAGACATTCAAGATGTTACAGACAACATGGAAGGAGGCGAGATTTCAGGGACAGAAAGCGAAGGATAAGAATAGAAATGTAAGAACTGAACTTAAGGGATTTGCTTCATTTACGGGTTAGGGTTAAGAAGAACCTGTTACAGTATTTAGTGATAGGTGGAAAATCCAAATCTGGATTTCCTCTTTACTTTTTCTTCTAATTATAAAAGTAATAAATATGTACTTTTTGTTTTTCCTGCTGGGTGTTGCATGTATGGTGACTTGTGAATATTTTATATTTTAATTTTATTTTATATTTCAATGTATTGGAAACTTTCCATTTTATTCAAGAAATCAGTTGCATGTTAAAAGCCTTGGTTAAAAAAGGAATATTTACAATCTAAAAAACAAAAAAACTCAAGAATGACTGAATCTTTTTTCATTATTTTAAGTTTATTTTCTATTATTCATTATAATAGAGAAATTTAAATATAGTAAGAATTGCAATCCCACTGTTAATATTTTGATGCATCTCTCTCTCTCTCTCTCTCTCTCTCTCTCTCTCACACACACACACACACACACACACACAGTTACTTAAACACAAACCTGGGATAATAATGTAACTTCTGGCTTAAAATCTGCTTTTTTTCCTGCTTAATCAAGTGAATATTTCCCAATGTCTTTAAATAACTTTCCAAATAAAACTTTAAGCAGCCATATCACACTCTATTTTTAGTTGAACTATATTTGTATATTTACCCCAATCATTCTTTCATGCCATTCAGATGTTCCTAAATTTTTGGCTTTTGAATAAATCTCAGATCAACATATTTATACAATTTATTTTTATGCTCATCTCTGATAATTTTGTTGGGGTAAATTCCTACCAATAAAAATCATCTCTACTACCTTGTATCTTTAAGGTTTGTTAAAATGTGATGTCTAGGGGCCGGCCCGGTGGCGCACTGGATAGTGCGCTGCTTGGGAAGCACGGCGGCGCTCCCCTTTATGATTTCTTCCTTCTATTTTATACTTAGGAATTTTCATTCATATATCAAATATAACTTCTTTTCATCTACTATAAAGCCTATAATCTTGGTAACTTTGTTTCCAATTTTCCAATTGTTTACTCCAATGTCTTGTCTAATTGATGGCCTTGGAACTCTACACAAGCTGACCCTTTAACTCAGTCCTGGAAATTGGCAGCCACTTGTTTTTTCAATGAGCAAAAAGAATAAGGAGTCAGCTGTGCTGAGAAGGCACAGAAGGGTCTTTTTGAGAACAAGTTGATAAGCTTGGTGCTGACGGAAGGGCCAGAGCTGCTCCGGAAAGGAACAGATAGATGACTTTTCATGTCACAGAATTAAATATGTTTGTGGCAACATCTCTCTGTAACAGGTTTGATTCCTGGAAGCGCAGGGGAAAAAAACTCAAGCCACATTTTTCCTTTTCTATGTTATAGACCCCCGAGGAGCTGCTTTAACACAATTTGTTGTGGTGTGTTGTGTTATGTCAGGGGCTATACATCCTGCAAAAGAAGTGTGTGTGTTTGTGTGTATGTGAAGTGAGATGAGAAGAAGGATGTTACTATGTTACAGTCTTTTCCAACCTCCCACTAAATAGAGAACCAGAATGAATATTCTATTATACCACAGCCTAAGGGACTGAGGTCCACTAGCAAAGAAAGTATTAAATATCGAGCTAATTTGTCAGGGAAAATTGAAACATATCCTCTAAAGGACTTTACAATTAGGATAAAGTTATAATTTCCTTGAGATGGTTTAAACAATGTCTTGTCTAAGAGTAACCTCTCATATTTACTAAGAGCCTAAAGTTCTTAAGGGATCGAGGCAGTTAATTTTTTAAATGGCACTGGCCATAACCCTGGGCACGGCAGATGATGGTGTACTAGTGATAACTAGAGGAGTCTGTCAACACGTGACTATGTCCACATCCATACTAGAACCCCACTCTCCCTTAGGTTTATTCTAGAGCAATGCATAAAGAGAAATATGAGTGTTTAAGACCTTTGGAACATGTAAATATAATATTAAATTATAATGAGCAGTACCAAATATTCAGATGATTAGATATATCCAAGAAATTTAAAATAAAATATAGGTTTCTTAAGAGCAGATTGTCTTCCATTTTACTTTAGCTACAAAAACTTTCCATAAGCACCCACGAGCAGTACCAAATATTCAGATGATTAGATATATCCAAGAAATTTAAAATAAAATATAGGTTTTCTTAAGAGCAGATTGTCTTCCATTTTACTTTAGCTACAAAAACTTTCCATAAGCACCCAATTGCATGTTAAATTATACTATTTTAATAGCATGTGTTAGTAACAGAATACACAGGCTATAATGAACTCATGTAAAAATATCAAGCAAAACAAAACTTCCCAATATTAAAGATCTTTAAATGAAGAAATAAAATATAGGTTTCTTAAGAGCAGATTGTCTTCCATTTTACTTTAGCTACAAAAACTTTCCATAAGCACCCAATTGCATGTTAAATTATACTATTTTAATAGCATGTGTTAGTAACAGAACACACAGGCTATAATGAACTCATGTAAAAATATCAAGCAAAACAAAACTTCCCAATATTAAAGATCTTTAAATGAAGAAATTCAGTGCCAGGGATGAGAACATGAGTGTGTTGGAAAAAAGGAATTAGATGCCAAAATAACACTCCCATTACTTTTTGATGCTGTGGAAACCATAATGCTGTAACATACTCTCACACAGCATGCCTTGTCACTGAACTCGGAGGTAGGAGAAATAAGGAAATTAAAAAAGAGAGAAGAGGACAAGGTTGAAATTGAAAAGCAGTTCAGAAAAAGAGGAGGCTCTGCTAAGGGAAGGATCAAGATGAGATGTTTGAAAGAGGCTGTCCACTGTGATATCTAGAAGTATAGAGAAAGGAGAAAGAAGAGACTAAAGGAGACTCAGTATGGTTCCAGTTCCCAATGAAGTTCTGGATAGAGCAGTAACGAGCTGCACATGAACTACCTCAACACCCAACCCAGATGTTACAATGGCCAAGGGAGTCTGATTTTTTGACATACCCCATCACTGAAACTGGAACTGCATTATTCCTTAGTAAAAGCACTACTTTTTGTTTTCCTATTGACAGTTAAAACACTACCAGTGGGAAGAACAAAATATAAGATATTTTAGACAAGTGGAAGACATAGGCTGCTTACATGTGTGTATATGTTAGTAAAATCTTTCTGTTCATTTTTTCTTTAAAAAAATGCTATAAAATAATTGACATTTTAAAACATGTAGTTGTATATCTTTTTTCCCCAATGCTGAAGCAAAGCTTTAAATACAATCTCACATATATTTGTAACTTAACATAAAGGCCATATCATAAATTTGATAGATCCTGCTCCTTTAAAATATGCCCAATGAGAAGAAAAGAAAAAGTCTATTTCAACCTTTCCCATTGCTGAAGGAAATACAAATCTTACACTTAGAATTGCAATAGTAAATGTCATAATATTTCTAAAGTACCTATCCACAGTAAGTGCTCAATTCAGTTAGCTACTGTTATTGTCATTATTTTATTAAAAAGTAACAGACTTTGAGATACTTCTATCTTTAGTGGAAATTTTGACTTTACGTGACTTAATGCTAATGCCCTTTCCACATTTCATTGGAAAAGCTTACCTCTTGCAAGTGAGACTCCTTTTTCTTCGCAGACAAATTTAAATGCTTGTCAAGAATAGAATAGTATTTTTCACTCTCTTTGTCAAACTTCTTCTTTCCATCCTAGGGGATAGCAATAACAACAAAAAAGATTCAAATCAGAGCATAAAGAAAACCTTGATTTTCACCATCCCCATCTAAAAAAAAGATTTAATAAGGATTTAGTGAATTTCAACTATGTGCAAAATCTTAATTTTGTAGAGCAGGAAAAAGGTTATGAAAGAAGTCATTTGCATATGTATTCTGCTCTCAAAGAAGCTTTCCATCTTACAAGGAGAAACACATGTATAACAAACACCACCAGTCACACCTTCTTTGGAGCACATGGATCTGTAGTATGGAGGGGGCCACGTTGGCTACAGTAGAATCCCTTTGAGAGCTTTATAACTGACTCCCAGAAAGAGATTCTGATCTAGTAAGTATGGGATACAACCAGGAGAAAGATGTCTTCTTTAGGCTTCTTGGTGATATGATGAGTTAACATATAAACAATGTGGAGAGCTACTCACATAAACTCCTTCAGAGAATCATATTATTTCCTAGCCACAAAAAGACACCTGATATTTCAAATAACTTGCTCTTGGGAGGGAGGAAAAAAAGACTTTTAAATGCTGGTAGCTTCAAATAATTAAGTTAAAAATTCAAAATCAAATAAATCAAAAGGATTAACAACATCTGCATCTTATGCTCTGAACATAATTCTAATAGCTGGCCTTTGCTTGTTTCTAAAATGTTGGGAGTTTTGAGGGGGTTAAGGAAGATTAGCTATAGACAGGCTGGACTTTTATGGAGGAAGGGAATAAGTTTACCTTTTATCCTATGACGTGCTTCCATAGAAATGTAAATGGAATGAAATACTGAGAGGAACAGGACATACCTGGGCATATGATCTTCTCCAACTATAAATACTGTATCCACTAGGTATGCCTTTTCCATTTATGAGTCCATACGAAACAAACACTAAGTAACTACACTCATAAATTTCATTGGCTAAAGAAGTACTATTCCTTCCTTTTATTTCGCTGTTTCTGAAACTGCAACCTCTAGATCACCTAAATCAGAGTCAAGTGTTTACAAGTTTGCTCAAAATGCAGATTCCTCCACCCAGAGATTCTAGAATTGTTTTTTTTAACATGCTCTATGATTACTAAGCCTAATGCTCTGCTTCATTACTTGCATAAATACCTGGAAGGGGTTACTTAAAAATGATAGATAGATAAATGTATAGATGGACGGGTGGGTGAGTGGGTGGAGGAATGGAGGGAAGGAATGAGGGAGACAGGGAAGGAGAAGGGAAGAAGGTAAAGTCTCTAGCTTAGGGGGGGGTCTTTCCCACTATTCTGAGTTTTTCAGATGTGGAAAACCTTGATTTTCACCATTCCTATCAAAAGTCCAATACAATTAGTTAAAGATGAGGGAGACAGGGAAGGAGAAGGGAAGAAGGTAAAGTCTCTAGCTTAGGGGTGGTCTTTCCCACTATTCTGAGTTTGTCAGATGTGGAAAACCTTGATTTTCACCATTCCTATCAAAAGTCCAATACAATTAGTTAAAGATTTAGTGAGTTCCAACTATGTGCAAAACCCTAATTTAGGAGAGTAGAGAGGAGGGTGTGAAGCAAGTCATTTGTGCATGTATTCTGCTCTCAGAATCTACCCAGGTAATACTATGTTGATCCACTGGCACTCTGAATTTTATTTTCAATTGTACTTTCAG